GAGAGTTGGATATATTTCTTTTGATGTCGTTTGAAAATTTTTTGTTTAGGTTTGGTATTAAAATAATGTATAATGACATCTTTTGTGAGAGAAAAAAAAATATTTTTTTCAAGAAACGAAAAATCCAAATCGTAAAAACTTAGGGTTTAGGGTTAAAGAAATAAACCCTAAGTTAATATTTTCAACATCATACCTCCCATAAAATTGATGGAAAAATTGAAGTGATTCTTGGCATTTTATTTAGATGTAGTATAAAAAAGAATTTATCTTCATGAGAAATTTTTTTTCCACATGTGAAATTTTCTTATAATAGAACGATACATTCTACTTCTAATATGTTTCATTTTGAAATTGTTTATGATTTTAATTCATATACCCCATTTGACTTAGTGTCATTGCCTAACAATGAGCCATCTAATATGGATTTTAAGAAATGAGCACATAAGATTATACAACTCTACAAAGATGTGTAAAAGGAACTAAAGCAACACAACTCATATACTGCAAATCAAGCCAACTGCTATCACAAGAGAGTGATTTTTCAATCTAGAGATTGGGTATGTTTGCACCTTCACATGGAGAGATTTCCGATCAAAAGAAAGTCCAAAATGTCCCCATAAGGAAATGGTCTCTTTCAAGTCATTGCAGACCTCTTCCAGTAGAACGAATTACGACTAATAGTACTCTAGTATGCCCATTTTGTTCCTAAAGGTAAAGTATCTTGAACGCCGATCGAAATAGCATTGCTATAAAAAGCAACGAAGAATAGAATGAGAGTAAGATTGTCAATTGAGAGAAAAAGTAAGGAGAGAGTACTTCAATTAAAAGAGAAACTTACATCAAAGGTCTAAGGGATTAGACCTATTTATAAACTTTTCCACTCAAAAGAAAGGGAAAACATCCTTAGAAAAGAAATAATCGTAAATAAGAAAACAACCATAATAAGAATCCAAAATAAGAAAACGATTGTAATTATGATAACGACCATAACTAAAATTATAAAAGAAGGAAATTTTTAATCATAGTAACAACAATTTTAGGATATTATAAATATGATAAAGCTCATCAATTTAATATGAATATAGTTTTTTTGGATATCTCTATCCGATTTGTGAACCTATAAAAGTCCAATTAATAGATTTCATATTCAAGTCCTAATTTCAATTCAATCCAATTCAATTTAATAAAACTCAAGATAAAATAGGATTCAGTTTGGCACATTGCAACAAAGCGTGACTCAAGTAATCATAATTTACCACTCAATTTATATATTTCCCACCCATATGAAATTCAATTTTTTCAAAATAAAAATGTCAAAAATTGAATTAAATATTTGGTTTTTGAATTCTTTTAAAATAAAATTTTAAAAACAAAATGAAAATAAAAACACAAAATGACAACTTTATAGAGAAAAAAATGAGTAATTTCAAAAAAACATGAATTAAATGAAGTTTGAGATGTATTTAGGAATTTGTTAACAATACCATTATTTTAAAACTAATCTAATTTAATTAAAAAATAAGTATAAAATTCTTTTATTAAATAGAAAATATTAGAACATATAAATCATTTTTAAGAAATATCTTACTTTGTTTATGCTTTGCAATTTTTGTTTACTGAATGTGTTCATTTGACAAAAAAATACAAAAAAAATACTCATTTCGTCTATTTCGTAAGCATAAATTTTATCATTTTTGTTGTTCAAACACAAAGTATCAATTTCTTTTTTAATATGAATGATATCATTACACATTACCGTTATCTTCATATTTATATTTATTTGTATCAATAGTCTTACATTAACTCTATATATTATTCCCTCCGTCCGGCTGTAAGGGTCTCATTTACCTTTTGCGTCATTGTACTTAATATTAAAAATATTCTTATATTTGTATAATTTTTTGCACAAATATCATTATAATAGTATTATAAGACACTAATAAAAATATTTTTGTCATTTTCCTTAAATTTGTACTATGTTTTCATTTAATAATTAATATTCAAAGATCAATACGCAAAAAATAAATGAGATCCTTTGAGCCAAACAAAGGTAGTATAAGGGTAAAATCGTATTTACATATTAAAAAACTATCACAAACTATCATTATTATATAATACTCCCTCCGTCCACACACAAAGTAAACATTCACTTTTGGCACGGTGTTTAAGAAATAAAAGTATTTTAATTATAATGGGTAGTTAAAAGTAGTAAAATGACATTTTTGCTCTTGCTTTTTGGTGCAAAAGTAATGATGTGATGTAAAGTAAGAGTATTTGTGAAAAAAAGTGAGGTATTTAATGAAATATTTACTTTGTAATTGGACGTCCCAAATAGACATGTGTATACTTTCGAACTGGACGGATGAAATATTAATTAAACTCCGTGCAAAATGAAAATATTTACTTTTTAAATTGAGAGAATAAGTATAACACTTGATAGTTATTTTCATTATTGTTACCACCTAAATTAATCATCTGGATGCATCAAATAATTTAGGTGCCTAGGCATTTTAATAGTGACCAATTCTCTAAAGCCTACCCAGGCATACAAATTAATAAAAAATAATAGTATTGGAAAAAAAGTCAAAATAAATATTGCCGCTATTCGCATATATATTTAGACTGACACGTGCATGTCAAATGTCCGACTTTTAAAGTTTGATGGGTATAAGGTACGCACATGTTTAAAAGTGGGACAAACATAGTAGTACATACATGGATAGACAAAGTAGTACATACGTGGAAAGACAAAGTAGTGCGTATGTGGACAAACTAAATGGTGCGTACACGCATAGACTGAATGGCGCGTACGTGGACTAACAAAATGATGCGTGTCGGATGCACAAAATGATCGTCTCACCTAAAAGCTCAAGCTATTAGGAAAATATATCATTAATTTATTTATCCGCGAACAGGAGTCCCTAATACGCCTCCTCAGGTGCAAGTGGGGATATGCGAAACTTGCACATGCATATGCAAAATGTGGACGGTGGAACTCGAACTCGCGACCTAGGCTCTGATATCATGTCAAATACGATTGGAGTACCAACCCAAGAAACAATCCTACTTAGCCCTCTAGCAGTTCAGCATTCCAGAGGGATTCCTCTAACTCGGGCCCAAATAGGGGCCGATTTAAAATTTTCATCATCCGCCAATGAAAACCAATGTGGCATAGTCTTTAACATTAGAGAGCATCCATATTTCTGATATGGACAACCCTGAAGGACTGATAAACGATCTTCATTAGTGGCGAAATTAAAAAAAATCCATCCTTTGGATCCTAGGAGTATTTCAGCATGAGCAGGCCACTGTTTGACTATTTCTTCGATGGCCTTAAATCACGGGTCACGTGGATAAAAGTATCCAAGGAGGTCATACCCCCAATCTGTTTCAACTTCGATTGCATCATTATTAGGGATGAGACATTTGTCATCTTTTGAAAAAAGAGAATGCTCAAATCCAGTATCCGAGAATTTTTTATTCTCTGCAACCTTATCGGCCCATGTCAATTTCGAAAGAAGGGGAACAGTTGCTACGATATCTCTCTGAACATCATTAACTGGAAGACGTTTAAAGACCACAAAACCTCCATCCGAGTGGTTATCAGTTCTCATTGTTACCATCTCTGTAAGCTCATCTGAGGAGAGTAAACCTCATTTTTAATATGAAGATCCAACATATGATATTATTTAGAACCTTTTTTCTTGCCCATAAGGGAGAAGAGACGTGCCACGAGAAATAAAACAGTGAGCTAAGAAGCCCCACACAACATATATTAACAATAACGAAGAACAAAGAACCTGCAAGTTCAAAACAGATACTGACAGTCCAACTGGATGTATTTCTATACCTTAAACTCCAATCATGATCACTCTTGAATGATGCAGCAGATGGAATGCAAGCTCAAAAGATTTGTTGTGTTCAGATATTGTCTGCTTGAGATTCGAAATAATAAAATAAATAAATAATAAATATTCCAACAAAAATGATTTGTTTGAACTAAATTTGAACTCATGACCATTCAATCTACACAACTTGGGTCATCCCTTATAGATGATATTACTTTATTTTGTTTTGATTTGAATTTGAGTTTGAGTTATTTTTTTATTATTTAAATATTATTTTAATAATGTCTTGTTAAAAAAAATGTTGTAAAAAATTAAATAATATTGATTTGAATTTGAAATTTAAAAAGGAAATTTTCATTTTTGAGATTTTATTAGTGTATGAATTGTTAATTAACATAGAATTTTAAAATATTGAATTCAATATCTTTAAATTTTAAAAATTTAAATTTAATATGTACAGATTTTAAAAATCCAACAAAATTTACAAAGTCTTCGTGGAATACATTACACATTAAAATTTTAATTTATGAAAAATCCGTGTAGATTTTTAAAATATACGATCAGATTTCATATAATTTTAAAACAACATTGCTAATTTAATATAATAAAAACAAGTTGGTTTCATTTTTAGGAAAAACACATATTATGTTATTTATTTATTTATTTTTATAAAAAATAACTATTTTTCTACTATAAAAATTAAAAAAAATACATATCATATTAAAACTGTCAAAAACAAATTTTTTCTTTTTCTATTTTTTTGGGGAAAGATTATTACACTAGCCTAATAATAGCAACTATAATCAGCGGTTATAAAATACTAGTTGTGGAGTAGTTGGGTTAGTTACAGCGTTTCACCACAAGTAATAACATTTACATTTACCTTTACCGTGGGTTAATTGAATGAAGATCCATAAAGTAACATTTGCAGCGGAATCCTGTCCACGCTTTGTCCGCCATCTCCGCCGCGCCCCGCCATATGGATCCCCACCGGGATTCCCACTCTCATTATATATATATACAATACTCACCCGCCTCTTTCTGCAGCATTTCTCCAAAAAAACCAATTCATTACCATCTCATCGGAGTGCTGCATTTCAAATAATTAATTACCAATCAATCAATCAATCATTCCCTCCCTCTCCTTTTCAAATGGCTCGCAACGTCGCTGCTCTTTCCCTACTTGTCTTCGCCGTCGTGGCCGCCCTCGCGTCTGCCCAGTCAGCTCCGACTGCCTCCCCGGCTAGTGCTCCATCCTCCTCCGAGTCCGATTCCGACACCGCCGCAGCTCCGGCGCCGGCCACTGCTGCTCATTCGCCGGCGACTTCAGCTCAAGTGCCGGCCGCTTCCGCTCAGTCGCCTACCGCTGACGCTCAGTCGCCAGCCACCAGTGCTCCGGAGGCTTCTGCAGCGGCCCCGGCCACCACCGTGGACGGGACGGCGGCAGCCCCCGCTGATGCTCCGGTCAGCGACTCTCCTGCCGACTCTCCCGGCTCAGCTGAACACGATCATGCAGCTGCCGACAGCGGCGCCGTGTCTTTGAAGGTGTCGGCTGCTGTCGGTGCCGCGGCTGCTGTCGGAGCCTTCTTTGTCTGAATGATCACTTGTGATAATTGATATATATATATACACTAGTGCTCGTAGACGCGCTACGCTGCACGAGCAAGACGTGGTTTTTAGTAATTTATATGTTAGTTTTATTTATATTTATAATATTTTATATTTTATTGTTTAATATAAAAATAATAATTATCCATGTATCGGTCATGTGGCGCTGACCTGACGGAAACGTGGTGCAATAAAAAGCAGAGGGTAGGTGGTAACGAGCACATGTAATTTGTACAGAGGCATGTATTGCAAGCAGATGCGTAACCAACAATTACCGAAGAAATTATGTTCAAGATTGAAAGGTGCGTTTAAACGACGCCGGATAACCGACGTTGTCGCAGAAATCCCAAGAAAGTAATGGCGAGGTCAACCGACTGCGGTTCACCGATTTGTCGATTTATATGTGTGACCAGTTGTTTTTCGTAAAGAAAGAGGCTCTAGTAGGGATGTGTAATCGTGGATAATATAGTAGGCATATGGCATGGTTGTACGTAATCGGTGAACCGCATGTTAATCACGTTTAAATAGGAGGCCTTGGGTGAGAAAATGCGCAAGGTTGCCACTGTTTAAACGCTCTTTAATCTTATAAAGAGATCCATTTATTGGAGTGGTACACACATCTATTATTTTTCTAATCTTGCAGTCACAGTATATTTGATATAGACAAAAAACAAAAAAAAAATATATATATATATAGATTTTCATTATTTATGGGTAAAAGGAAAACATAGTTATATATATATATATATATATGTAAAGGCAATCATGTCTGCAGGAACTTTTTGTATCATGTCTGATTTAGATTCTTTAGGTTCGACTCTGTCGTTAGGATGATTGGAATGTTTTCTTCGTTGTATATGTCTTGATAAGGAGCCGAAAATGTCGAAGGATTTCGTTGGAAAATCCAGGAGGTAGTTGTAGGCAATGAACAAGCTTTCATCTTTGATCTATTGTATCTTTGAACGTGCATTATTCTTTTGTGCTATTTGTAATCAATATTGATTTGGAAGCTAATGCTTCTGAATCAGTTAATTAGGATGCGCTTCTTGAGCTAAAGAGTAATTGTAGTTGTTTATTGGAAGGTTCGTTCGCCTCAGTAACGAGGCCAAAGAATAGTTGAATTTCTAGCGAGATTGGTAGCAAACATTGTTTAAGAACTTGTATTGCAGTGGGTCATTTTCTGAAAATTTCAGTAAGGCTGTAGTCACTTTTAAGTAGTCAATTTCCAAATGCTTCTTGTTGACCAATTTAAATTAGATGTTTCAGAATTTATATTAGAGGATTGTTACTTTAGTATGCTTAATTTTATAGTATCTTTAACTGTTGTGTATGTACTTATTTGCTTCATCTTAGCCCCATTAGAAAAAATGATAGACCGTTTCATGTTTCTTTTGCAGCTCGCCGAGACGTCAAAGCTGACTTGTGGGTGTTCAGAATTTGTTGATTCAAGAAAACATATACCGGAGAAAAGGAATATGAATGAAAAATTGGCTTATGCTTGTCTGTTTTGGGTTGTTTTTTTAATTTGCAAGTCAGGCATTGGAGGCAGTTGGATGAATTTGAAATGGTGTTTTTCAGTGTTTGTCGACGGTGTTGGGCGGATTACAATACATATTTTATTTTCATTTGCAGCTATTGTGTGACTGTAAATGGAGACGTGTAATAACTTTGGGCATATTATTCGTAAACATAGTAACAACTAGTCCATTGTATAGAATGGAAGATCATACATTTGTTTCATTTGGTAGCATATCCCTACTACCAAGTCCAACAGCTGATTTAGCCCTACACACTAACAACTATTTGTACGCATGATATGACAAAAGGGGCTGTTCAAGAGCAATTACAAAATGAAACCACTTGGCAGATGCATGGCCTGTATCCCTATTTACATTAGCAAGATACTGCCTGTGTGAGGATTACTTTCTTCCCTTACTTGCAGCCGTGCGACTTTCTTTGCCGGGGTTGTGTTGCTATTGTCAGTGGGAGTTGGCTACTTCAAAGTGTTGTTGTCAGTAGCATCAATTTCGGGCAACAGTTCTCTCCGTTCACCTGAAAGACAAAATAAGGAATTTTGGGTCGAGAACTGCGCTTCTCATGTGCTACATAGGGAATTTTGAAGGTAGAGCGATTATTGGAATACAAACATATCACAACCAAAGTTGTAATTAACAAGTAAACTTTAAGAAATGTTATTGTGCAATGCTCTTTCCATTACTATTTATACCTAGAAATAGAAAAAACAGGCAAAATACACCCAAGGTTGCAGTCCTAAGTGCAGTAACTTACAGATGAAGCATGTTTACTTTATTGTCATTGAAATTGCGAATGTATAACAACGGGAATGCAGACTGCACATATAAGGTGATAATTGTAGTCATGTATTCGCACTTTCCTAAATAGTAGAAAGATGTAACTTTTTTATAAAGGTTGGTAGGTAAGTCTCTACATTTTATAAGAGAAAATGTAGGTGTAATGAATGAGTCACAGAAAAGTCTTCTTCATAACCACGAAGGTGGAAAGCCATAAAGGATCGGAAAATAGCCACATACATCCTATCTTAAAAAATAAGAAACCACCTACACTGTGAATGCAAATATTGCATTGTGACAGCAGAGACACCGCTTGCAATTCCATGTTTCCCCCCCAAGTTCCCTACTTACCCATAGAGTCGCAATATTTGGAATATGATACTTGACCTTCAAGGAATGGCTTAAAAGCTTATTGTTTTTCCTGGAAAATGAATGGTGTCAGGATTATTTGAAAAAAACCCTTGAAGATAAACTCATTTAACCATTCTCAAGAACCCATTTTCTATTGAAGCTCAACAAATATTAAAGTGCTAAAGTTCTTTGATTCTCTTGGAAAACAAATTACGACTGTGAGTTTATGAAGATGCATTAAATATATTTTCTGGTAAACATTTCCATGAATCAATCTCCCTGAACAAACTCACATATATATGTCTAATTTGCAAAGCTTTATAGGGCAAAACAATTGTATAAATGTGAGACTTTAAGACAGACAGAATCCGAAACAATCGCAGGCTCTTGGCTATCCTTACACGATAATTTCATATATGAATTCTCAAATATGTATACCTTCAAGCATGCAACAATCATATTCCTATATTTGTTATGTTTGTTTTCGTCTCCCTATAGTTGGTCTGCCAATACCCTGCATTATAATGAATTTTTTCCCTAAAACCGGCCTTCAAATGTCAAAATAATTTCAAGTGTTTAAGAATGCTGCCAAAACACTAACTGGAAAAGGCAATTTCCGTCCCCAACAACACGAACTATTTTCAACCCATTTTTTCCAATCTGTGTTTCCAAGTCAATCGCATCGTTTTTTTTATTGGTTAGAGCTTTCACCTGAGAAGATAAACCCTGGCATTAACCTGCAACACCTTTACGAGACCCCAAATTACAAAGTAAAAACAAACACAAGCATTGAGACTCCACAAAGGCCTTCGCAATCCCAGCAATGTTCTTTCCGAATCCTCACAAGCCACTGCGAGTGGTACAATTTAAACTCTCACCTCCTACAATAAAAAAACCTTTTTACTTGTGCAGTAGCAGTGAAATTCTCACATTCAAAACAACAAAAATCCATGCGGAAATATTTTTTCCAATAGAAAGAACTATCCCTTATAATTTTTTGTCATTCCAATTTGATTATAAATATCAAGCATTGCTCTTATACCTTTGAAGCAAGAGGGGCAGTTTCTAAGACATCCTCTACCACCGAATCTTGATTGGGTTTAGTTACCTGAATATCAAAACAATGATTTATAACAACTTAATAGTGCCATTGACTAAAACTTAGGGTGTCAAACGAACAATCATGCCCAACGTCTGCCTTGTTATACTTTTAGCCCTGCCCAAAACATATAGATGATGTTCCCCACTCTAAAAAATGTTACCTCTGCTGTGGCCTGTCCATCATCCAAACCCAACAATGATTGGTTGATTTGGCTCCTTTCAATGTCTTTTTCTAGTAACCAACAAAACTGTTAAAGAAAATCAGGGCAATGGGGGAGGGGATGCATATGCCACGTATACCTTCTTTTCCTTTTTATTTTTAATTAGAGAAGCTAGAACAACACAATCATCATTGTGGCCACTATCTGCACCTACTTTGGGGTTGCAATGAAGTTACCCAGATATCTAGACGTTTGCAATTAGAATAGTCGAATTGGTTAAAAGAGTACCTTTAGTGTTCCATCCAACATGATCAGAAGTGTTGCTTGTAGAGGTGACCAATTGAGTTTCCTTTCGCCGTTTTGTGGCATCTTGTGCCGTAGAAACCTCTCCCTTTCTCTTTTTTTCTTAGGCCGCTTCTTCCTGTACTGACAAAATCTCTTCCATGTTCATCTGAGTCCCACCAAGTCGCTGCTCAACTTGAGCATTGCTTAGCTGTCCCTCTAAAAAGAGAAAGGTTATACATTCATCCCACTGATTTCCCTCTTTCTTTCCACATCGCCGCCCACTAATCATCGAATGCATTCACAGTTTGATGATGGGCCTTGAAAGGAATATAGGTGTTTTCCAATAGATACACATCTACATTTTCCAAGTAGTATTGAATGGATGATTGTCCTAAACTACCATCCCTTCCCGCTATCATCACATTTGGGGAAATCACCATCCATGGAATGCCCTGGCAACAACCTAACTGACGAGCAACCAATGCGGCTGATATGTGACACATGTAAATATATTCTTTCTGCTCAAAACGTGGTGACTGGGAAAGAGAGTCATTGGCTTCATAGTCGAACCCTATGAAGCTTTGTACGTCGGATGTGGCAACGGGCTTAAAGCATCGTAGGAGAACCTGTGGTTTGGTGGACACCACACTAGTTCAAAAGCGAAATGAGGATAAAAGACATACGGATAATATTAGCACATTGTGTGCCGTTAAACATAGTGTTGCATTTTAAATTCATCTCAATAATTGTCGCCTTTATTTAATTTACAAATTTCTCATTATTTCACCAATTTTCGCATTTATTTGTCAATTTTTCCGTAGCTTTTATATGTTACTCCTTCTGTCCGCCTTTACGGATTACATTTATTTTTTATGTCCTTGTACTTAACATTAAAAGACACTAATGAATACGTTTTTTTTACAAATCGTAAAGTTTTTTTACAATTTTTTCTTAATTTATAATACGTTTTGATATAATAATTAATATTTAAATATCAATATACAAAAAGTAAATGGGATCTTACAGCGGACGGATGTATTATTATTGTCATTCCATTATCATTTTTTTGGTTGCTTATGTTCCATTCTCTTCGCGTACTTCAAAAATATATTCATGAAGTTAAGTTCAATACTTTCTTGAAAAGGATATAGAATTCGTGTCGATGGTCTTCCGGTCAGTCTAAATCTACACATTTAATCCTTTTTTTTTGTCTTTTATTTCTAAAAATGGGACCTACCAAGCTTTTTATATATAAGGAAAAGCACCATGACTGTAAGATAAATGGTGTCGTGTTTCATTCCTTCTTCTCTTTATGACATAAAAATATACTGATTCGTCATCAAGAGGATAAACAGGAAACGCATTACACTGAATATGACACCCATCAGTGCCCTTTTCTCGCGTTATTACACCAATGGAAGGAAAGAATGCACTTGTATAGTATGAACATCAATGGATTTTCACCAAGTGCCTCATATTACATTTACATGGCTGTATGTATTCAAATAAAAACATCTTCTATAATGATTGAGTGCAGGTATTACGATGTTGTTGATTGTGCATGTTATTGTCTCAAAATTTAATATTACTATTTGGTAATTCCTGTCCATAATCTCAATTTCCTAATGAAATAGTGGTCAATGCATCCGATGATTCTCGCTCACGTGGGTTGCACGAGGCCCGAAAAAGAAGTGGGTGCTTAGAACAGTAAAAATAGCAATTAATGATGTACGAAAGAAAGATTATAGTAATTGTTACATTTTCTTACTGAAAATAGCTGCAAGCTGCGATGTTTAGTGGGTGATTCGGTGTGCCAATCTGTGTGTATGGTCGGTATGGTCTACAAAAAGAGGATATAGCAGAGTGGTCACTGTACTCTCGAGCCTTTTTCGATAGTATTCTTTGCTTGCAAACCACCGGGGGGTGGGGAAACTGCTGCGTCAATCTAAGCGGTTATTCAACTGCCGGTTAGGAAACCCACATTGGATGTGTCTTTCTTTCCCAGCGGTTGCTTCCATTTCGAAATCTAGGACATCAACATCCAACTTTATTCAAGAATTAGGAGGATGAGGAGGAGTAGGAGGCTGTTTGACAGGAAAAGCCCACTGGTTTTTTCGTCGGATTAGGGAGTTGGTGGAATCTCCGTGGATTTGATTGATGGTGGGAAGAATTTCAGTTTGTGGTGATTCTTTTTAATTTGGAGAATCGGAGAGGGAAAGAATGGAACCCCCGAGGGGGGTGTGGGCTTCTCTTTGGAACTTCATCCGTTTCTTGCCTTTCTTCATTGGCCTTCTTCTTCTGGGCTTCATTAAAGGTCACTGTGTTGTTCTTCCATGGTTGAGCCTGTCTCTTTAATTTATGATCGTTTCCTTTCAGGATTTCGTAGGCTTAGACCTTTTTTTCGTTAATTGCATAATTGGTAATGAATTGATGGATCTTGCTTGTCTGTTATGGTAAGATTCAGGCGCGAATTGTAAAATCGGGTTGCTGATGCTCTTACAGTGTGTCCTTTAATGGATGCTGTGTGTATTAGCAAATCTAACTTCAGTTTTCAGTAGAAAGTTAGACCTAATGTTCATAGGTTACATTCGAAGTCAGATATCAGAGACGGTTTACTTATGTTGAATCAGTTTCTTGTTTCGATATAAGTTGTTTGGACAATGGCTGCTCTAAATTCAGCCATCATAAGTCTGCTAATGTATGTGCAATAATTTGTAGTGCTAAGGGACTGTTGCTTCAAAAAATTTTAGATAACAAATGCAGATGGTTTTTGATGATTCTTGGCCATTTATTGTTGCAGGTATAATTATGTTCCCGGTGATATTTCTCATCTTGACAGTGGGGATCTCTGCCGTAATACTTGGCCTTTGGCCAGTTCACTGTTTTTACACATATTATTGCATTTTGAGGTGTGTTCTAAGTTCTAAGTATTCAACTTGTGTGCACTATTGAACATGGTGCAACCACGACTCTACTTGATGCCCTTATCTGTTTCACAATCGCAGCACGAAACAATTTGGTCCTTTCCTGAAGCTCATACTTTGCATTTCTATTCCTGTCATCTTAATATCATGGCCGCCAGTCGGAATTGTCTGTGCTGTAATTGGTGGGGCTGCATATGGCGTGCTTGCACCAATATTCGCCACTTTCCAGGCAGTAGAGGAAGGGAAGACAGACAAATTCTATCATTGTATATGTGTATGCAAATCATGCCAACTCCAAGGATATATTTGTCCCCAACTTTTATTGGGTTCTTCTTACTAGTGTTTGTTTCGCCATGGTTGCAGGATGGAACTTTGAGCTCTGTCAAAGGAAGCTTCACTATCATTAGGGACTTTTTGGATGTTTCTTATCATTCGTATCTTTCAATTATGACTGATCTGCGCCTCCAGGAGGGAAAGTATTATGAGATTAGGTTCGTTTGTCTCTCTGTCACCATAACTTGCTTTTGCAGTTTTCAGGCTCATTGATCGGTATTGTTTACATGATCTTAAGTTATTTGGTTTGTCGATCCTATTTTTATGTGTTCTTATTTTTGTCATCCGTTCATTATTGCTGAAGTGATATGTGTGTGTGCATATATACGTTTTATTGGAAAATTATTTTCTTTTACTGATTTTATTTGGCACTCACCTGTTTTCACTCTGAATTGAATAAGAAATGTTCCTAACTTGCTTGGATATGTCACAATAATTCCGATCACAATTTCTTATGTGTGATCCATTTTTATCGTGCTGGATACTGCAGATTGTTGTATGTTCCCTTAGCTTTGGTAGCCAGCATATTGGGTGCTATGGTTGATTTTCCTGTGATCTCTCTCATTGCCATTTGTAAGGCCCCGTACATGCTTTTTAAGGGTTGGCATCGCTTGTTTCACGACTGCATTGGACGCGAAGGCCCATTCTTGGAGACTATATGTGTCCCATTTGCAGGTCTGGCAATTCTTCTTTGGCCATTGGCCGTTGCAGGGGCAGTATTGGGCTCCATGGTGTCAAGCATCCCTTTAGGCCTTTACGCAGCCGTGATAGTGTACCAGGTTAAATTTCCTTTCCCTTTCCCTAATTAGAAAATCTCAGGTGTCTTAGAGTTAAATTATGTCGTTTGTTCGTTACTGGCGTATTCAATTCGAATAAAGTATCCCCCATTGAACATTGATTGCAGGAAAGCTCCTTCTGGTTTGGACTTTGCTACATTGTTGCTTCACTGTCTATTTATGACGAGTACAGTAATGATATTCTTGACATGCCTGAAGGCTCCTGCATTCCCAGGTTCCGCCTGTTGCATCTCTGCAACCATAATACTTGCGCGCGTATATTACTTTTTTATCTATTAAGAATCTAGTTGACGGTCGACAGCATAGGGATACAATATTGTCTTTCCCATTTGTACAGGCCAATGTATAGAAAGAAAACCATATCTCGAACTTCCTCTGGGACCAATTCTTTCTCGCGGCCCAGCTCATTCAAGAATCAGCTCTTCCATACAAATTCAATGAATTCACCCATGCTCGAGTTGAAGCCCCTGGAGGTATGTTTGCTTTCGGTTCTGCGCCCTGCTTGGACGACCAATATCAGCTTTAGATTTTGATCAAAAACGTCGATTTAATTGTTCTAAATTCTCCGCGATGCAGTTCTGTTAGTGAAATAATTGTGCACTACTGTTTTCTGTGGTCTTCTGCAGTTTGCTGATGCCTTGTTCAAAGAGTGTCAGCGCTATGGGGAGACTATGGCTGCAGAAGGGATAATAACAATAAAAGATATCGAAAATGCTAAGAATGGTAGAGATAGTGGATCAGTAATAGGCATTGGTTTGCCGGCTTACTGCCTTCTTCAGGCGCTTTTACGCTCAGCGAAAGCCAACTCTGCCGGTATATTGCTAGGTAAACAAGACTTGATCTGATTCTTCTCCGTTGGGTTTGTACGTGTATAAAGTAGTTTGATACGATGAATTTTGGTCTTCGCAGGTGAGAATGGTCCCGAAATAACTGCGTCGAATAGGCCAAAAGATAAGTTCTTCGACTGGTTCCTCAATCCACTTTTGGTCATTAAAGAGCAGATCCGAGCCGACAACCTTACTGAGGCAGAGGAGGAATATCTTGGCAAGTTAGTTTTATTGAGCGCCGACCCCGCGAGGTTGAAGGATTCGAATATTGGGCCGGCGCCAGAATCTGAGCTGAAACGAGCTGAGTTTGATGCGTATGCTCGAAGGTAAGTTATGAAAGTCGAGTTGAGTTGCTCTGTTCGGTTGCTTATTATAAGTTGAGTAGTGAGACATCTTTTGACATTTTTTATTGCCTCGGAACATAGGCTTCATGGGATCACCAAATCAATATCGAGATACCCGACATTCAGGCGCCGCTCTGATAGCATCAATAAGAACATTCTAGAAGAGCTTTCCCGGAAGAACGGCGGGTCTTCTGTGATGAGATCAAAAAGTATGCTGGACCGGTTATTCAGCCAGCAATCGTTTAAGGGCAGGCGAGACGATCGAGACAACGTAGAAAGAGACGTTGAAATCAGGTAGATAAGCTTTCATTTGTTGTTGTACCGGAAAGAAACGGTAATCATACTAATAATGGAAAGAAGTTCTAGGTAATCCTTTTCTTTTTTGTTTTTTAAATGCATGTTTTAATTTGTTATTTTCTTGTAAGCTGTAGTAGTTATAGAACAAAAAAATTATCATTTCAGTTTTGAAATGAACATATCTTGTTGGCATCAATCAGTGTTTACAGGAAATTTATTTGATTAATTTAGGACTGTCTTAAAAATTGTACACTTGGTTTTTTTTTCCCCTCCATTCCACACACACCCACGTATATATATGAATTATGCAATGGGTCTTGCTTGGATTGGATTGGATTGGATTGGATTGGATCAGAAGCAGCACAGCCACCTTTTCTGCAAGATTATTACATACAACAATATCATCGATCATAATATATATATATATATATACATTTAATTGCAAGTATAGAAGAAGAGCAAAATGCAACCTTTCGAGCATATTGGGGAGACGACCAGGCATCCATTGCCGGCGGTGGTGGTGGTGGTGGAGGAGGCGGAGGAGCCGCCTTGGCTTTCTGCCTTTCATCTCTGGCCTGCGAGAATATTACGGTAAATCCGGCTGCGCCTCCATCTGATCCATTAACATCCCATTCCCCGAATTTCGGAACTGCCGCTCCTCTCCCCTTGCCTGATTGCTGCTCCTGCCATTTATGTAGTCAAGATGATGATCTGTGTATATGAAATGAATCGAATCGAATCTCAATCCGGTGATACTTACAGGCGACATCAATCTGGATCCAATTCAATCTTGAGGGTGGCTGGATGAACATATATGAGTTCGTGTGAAACTGATCAAATGATCATCTAGTGTAGGTATATATGCTAATGCATTAACATTACAGCTAACGTAAATGGATATATGTGGTTGTCTTTGATTCTGTCTGTTCTTGTATATGTATGTAGATGGATATATGTGGTTAGTGCTAATTTAGAGAAAGACAACTCATCGTGTATTGTTCGTAATCTCTTCTCGTTGGATTGAATATTGGAAAATTTTCAAATTTCCCAAACAAACACACCTGAACGTGGATTGGATGGATCCCCTAAGTCCTAACGTCTTGCACACGGTTACAGGTGTTGGCGTCTCAGAACGACGACGTTTCTGTTTCCTTGGACACACAAACAGTTTCAATCTCCACCTTTCATTGACGTGATTTCCCTAAACTACCCTTCCGTCCTCGGTCCACAGTCCTCGTGTATCACCGCCATATATAGGATTTTTTGACTATTTCTAAGCGAACCCCTTTTCGTCATTTGGCACTCACTCCACGAATCAGTGGGATTGATTAACAACGACACACGCCTCCCTCCATCGTCGTCTTCCTCGATTTCTCGACGTTTTTTGTCTCTCCAAACCTTACCGAATGGCGTCCGGATTGGTACGACGGGCGATATCTAGGGTTCCTTCAATTTCACCGGCCGCTAGAGCGGTTGTTTGCCGGGCGCACGCGTCGGAGGCGGAGGCGCAGAAGGTGCAGAACAAGGCGCAGCCTGTTGCGACTCCCAAGACCTTCCAGATTTACCGATGGAATCCAGACTCATCGGGCAAGCCGAAGCTCCAGGACTACGAGATTAATCTCAAGGAATGCGGGCCGATGATTCTGGACGCCCTAATCAAGATTAAAAATGAGATCGACCCCACTCTGACCTTCCGCCGCTCGTGCCGCGAGGGAATCTGTGGTTCCTGCGCTATGAACATCGACGGCAGGAATGGATTAGCCTGCTTGACGAAAATAAACGCGGAAGGGCCGACGATGATCAACCCTCTGCCGCACATGTTCGTGATTAAGGATTTGGTTGTGGACATGACCAACTTTTACAATCAGTATAAATCGATTGAGCCATGGCTGAAGAGGAAGAGCCCTCCGGAGAACCCGGGGAAGGAGATTCTGCAGAGCAAGGAGGATAGGAAGAAGCTCGATGGGATGTACGAGTGCATCCTGTGTGCCTGCTGCAGCACCTCCTGTCCAAGCTACTGGTGGAACCCTGAGTCCTATTTGGGCCCCGCTGCCCTCTTGCACGCCAATAGGTATTTATCCCATCCTTTATTTCCTGTAGATAATCTGATCTTCTTGTGAAATTGTGTAAATGTGGAACTTTATTGGATCATTTCCTAATGCCATGACTACTGCACTTTGGATGCATAACAATGGAGTTTCATAGCTTAGCTCATTGTTCTTGGACGGACATTTTAAACTCAGTATATGCCTGGGTGTCTAACTGCCTATGTATTCTTGCTATAGTTGGAACTGATCATACAAAAATTCACAGTGAAGGTAGAGTTAGAGGTAGAAACCTTCATAGGTTTTTAAGGTAGATTAATGTTCAAGGAAAGTGAAGGTGGTAAGGGTTATTACCTCATCCTGATCGCCATTGATTTGGAATTGAACTATCATTTGTTTTTGTTGCCTTCTTCCTGATCGCCATTGATTTGGAATTGAACTATCATTTGTTTTTGTTGCCTTCTTAATTTCATAATATTGGCTTAAAATTGTTCTAGACTTATACAGTTCAAATATAGGGAAGGTATCAAGTATTGTCATTTGTTATGGAGTTTAAATATCTGCAAGCCTGCATTATTTTTTGAAGGTCTGTTGTTTTTGTGGAATATTGGGTGTGTCGAGGACTTCGTGTTCCAAAACTGGCTAAGGATATATTTTAATGCATCTTCTTAAATTAGATGTGAAATATGAAAAGAATTCTTATGGAATCCAAGCCAAGAGCTTCCTATAATAACAGACTATACTACACAAGTGTTTGGTGTACTAGAAAGTAGAATGTGAATACATTTCTACTTTGGATTCTCTTACTCTAAAATATGCCTCAATAAAAATCTTCGAATTCCAGTAAGGATTATGGGATTCGAATGCATTTCCATTGTGGAAACTCTTTCTACTAGAGTATTGATGAAACCCTTTCTTTTTTTCGGCCACAGCGAGATGATAACATCATATTTCTTCTTCTTACTCTGAGTATGCTCGACATGTACTGAATGCAGATGGATAATGGATAGCCGTGATGAATTTACAAACGAGCGCCTTGATGCTGTGAATGATGAGTTCAAGCTGTATCGATGCCATACCATTTTGAATTGCGCCAAGGCTTGTCCTAAGGGGCTGAATCCTGGAAAGGAAATATCGAATATCAAGAAGCTGGAGCAACAAGGGGCTTGGACTTCTTAGAGCTCCAAACAAAACTAGTCTTCACCGGCAGTATTTAAGTATTGTTGCAGCAAAATAACAAGAAGGTAGTGACTTTGTAATTCTTTCCCGATATATCAGAATCATTATTATTGTACCTCAGGTAAAAGTTCCCATTCCATAAAAATAAATCGATCATGGAAATTACTCCCTGGTTTCCACTCCATTGTCTTACTGGATTGGATCAACACAAGTAGTTCTTACTTGGTTGACATCTGATGGAATATTATTGTTTTCTTTCATATGTTCGTTGCCGATCCAGGAAATAGGTAAATGTTTATGCCCTAAAAATCCTATTTTTTAATTGTCATTTTCACCCACAATAGGATTTGGTGTGTTTGTTTGAGGATTGAATTTTTGAGTTAGGGATTTGAATAGTAAAAATTTTAAATTTGAATAGTTGTATGATGTGATATAAATAGGTGTTGATGCGATGTTTTGAATGTAAAATTGATTTTTAGTATAATATAAAAAATAAAAAATAGGTGTTTTGTTTGATATTTTTTCGGGAGAAAAATGGGATGTACAATGTATTTAAAATTCAATTCCCGAACAAACACTAGGCTATGTTCTATTTCGAGCTCTATTTTATTCTATATAATGTCATTTTTACTTTGACGACTAAGATTGAATAAAATCAAATAAGATTATTTTTAAAAATTAATTTAATCTACATCATCGAAATTAAATAGGATTTTTTTTTTTTTTTTCAATGCATAAATAATTTCTATTTATATATCAAAATCTTGGTTTTATTTTATTTTATTATTTTTAAGGCAACGTCTGTAACCTAAGGTTTGGGATAAAAAAAATGAATGAATGACGATAGTGGCTGCTGTTGCTTTTTTTTTTTAAATTCTTTTACTTTTTTGTTTTTGTTTTTCCTATAATTTCTTTTTAATGTATATATGTAGGCCTAAGTTAAATTAAATATCATATATTAGAAAAAAAATAAAATTTTGATATAATATATGATATTTAATTATGTATATATATGTTAATCTTTTTATAATAAATATCAACTATTAATATAAAAAATCTGTTTAAAATGAAATATATCATTCAAATATTAAGTGTATAAATAAAGTCATAATAAATTTGGAAGCAAAACAAATTAATCTCGTCAATAAATGAAATATTTAAATTGATATCTTCCGATAAAGAAAATAATATAAAGCGAGAAAAAAAGAAGTACAATCAAATCATTCAAAAATGAAAAACATCAGATTTAAAAGAAAATATTATAGATTTTCATGTTGGTCAATCAGGACGCGCCACGTGGTATTATTAAAAAAGGAAGCCGATGTCATCCGTTCCCTATAAATAGGGGTGTATGACACGACCCTACTTACACTATACTACTAACGCCAATTCAATCTATTTGTAAACGGTAAACATGCTATAATTCCTCTTAATTACTTTCATATATAACAACCTGTTAACCTGCTATATATTTTTGTTTTCGGCAAACATAACATAACTCAACATTTACCTATTAACATTCATCAAAAGGATCTCAAACCATATCAAAAACTACGTAATCGACATACTATTTATAACAACACCATATAACTTCTAAATCTCCGTAGAACAACGGAAGCAAAACAAGCCACGGTTCTGCCCACAGGTCGTCATCTATGTACACGGTAACTCAAAATGCCTGTAAGAGCGCCATGGCTACTCCAGTCTGTCCACCAAGTCATATATCATCAGGATTACCTACAATGCATAAACTGAGTGAGATTTATAAATCTCCGTAAGTAGAAATTATGCATGATGTGAAGTTTATCTCAAAATTCTCACTATGCAGAATGTGCTCTCGTTTGAAATTCACCAATTTATTTATGAAATACTTTCCAGGGCCCCTAGACACACTGTTATACACCGGAAGAGCTTAATATACATATATTCAAATCAAACGGTGGCCTACACCAGGTTTCCTCGTAAGGTTTCCCCGGGTCGCTTCTTCCCAGGTCGCCTCTTTCGAATGTATTGTTTATGCATTGTATGTAAAGTCACAATAGACGGTGGCCTACACCAGGTACCCTACACTAGGTTTCCCCAGGTCGCCTCTCCCGCCCTCGGTGTATAATCAGCGGTCTCACATAGTAAAACCATCTTATTTCATTTCAATGCATGTTTAATGAAAATGCAATGCAACATATTTCACAATATACGAATATTATTGAACTCACTAGTCCAAACCACATCAATTTTGGAGCTCACAGACTCCTTCAACATCAAATATAGAGTTCACATGCTCAACCATATCACATACAGAGCTCACAGGCTGAAACCAATGTATATACGGAGCTCGCATGCTCAAATCACATAATCATATAATATTAATCACATATTACAGTTTTCTGATATTCACATATTATCAAACAAACATAAATAACTCACAAAATAATATATTTATGCATTGTAGTTGCAAATGAGTTTCTACTTACTTGAAATTTGCCAAAAACGTCAATAACCCTAACTCTTACAACCCTTTTCCTGATTTCAGTATCGTATCTAACAACAATTAATTACATATATTACCCAAATTTACTAAATAATTATTTCTACTCAAAACTTCCTCTACTTAGTAAAAATAGCAATAATTAGTGAACACAAAGAAATACCTGAACTAGGCTTTTAACGAATTCGGGATAAAAGGTTTTTTTTTTTTTTTTCTTCTTCCTATTCTTCTTTTTCTTGTTCGCGTTCCTTTTGCCTTATCTTCTGTAATGAATTGATGATTGAGGTGGTGGGGGATTTATTGCCTGCCCCAACCGCCTTAACTTTTATTATTATTATTATTATCATTATTTTTATTATTATTATTTTTATCATTTATTATTATTATTAATATTATGATTATTTTTATTATTATTTTATTTATTTTAATTTTTATTTTATTACTACAATTAATTTTCAAGTGATCCATATTTAACTTACACCTTTAATATCTAAATAATTTACCCAACCTATTTGTATCTTACTAGAACCTTAGATAAGTTATGATAATATTTTCTTATTAATAAACAGGTAAAACATATACCAAATTATAAAAAATTTAAAATATAAGTAATTTATCAGCATCTAAAATATAAAATATATATTGGCCAATGAGTAGTGAGAACCTCGGGTATCACATCCTCCCTTCCTTATAAAAATTTCGTCCTCGAAATTTAACTTACCTGAAGAGTTCTGGGTATTTAGATCTCATTTCATCCTCTCTTTCCCAAGTAGGTTCTTCTACTGACTGATTTCTCCATAGTACTTTGACTAATGAAATCTCTTTGTTTATAAGTTGTTTCGCTTCTCTCATGAGAATTTCTACTGGAACTTCTTCGTAACTCAGATCTGATTTTAGCTCTGTAGGTTCACTTTTCAAAACATGTGATGGATCTGCTATGTACTTCCTTAATGCTGATACATGAAACACATTGTATATTTGAGACATGGATGTAGGCAAATCAAGTCTGTAGGCCACTTCACCAATTCTTTCAGTAATGGAGAATGGACCTACGTATCTTGGACTAAGCTTTCCTTTTTTTCCGAATCGCATTACCCCTTTCATTGGAGAAACTTTTAAAAATACCTGATCACCCACTTCAAACTCTAACTTTCTTCTTCTTTTATCAGCATAACTCTTTTGTCGGCTTTGAGCAGTTTTCATTCTTTCCCAAATTTGCACTACAGTTTCACTCATTTCTCGAATCAAATTTGGACCCAAAAGTTTTCGTTCCCCAACTTCATCCCAATGTACTGGAGATCGACACTTTCTACCATACAGTGCTTCACATGGTGCCATTCCGATAGTAGCCTGATAACTGTTATTGTAAGAAAACTCAATCAAATGTAAGAATTTGCTCCACTGACCTTGGAAATCTAACATACAAGCTCTGAGCATATCTTCCAGAATTTGTATCGTTCTCTCTGATTGTCCATCTGCTTGTGGATGGTACGCAGTGCTAAAAGATAACTGAGTCCCTAATGCTTTATGCAAACTCCTCCAGAAATTAGATAAAAATTTGGAGTCTCTGTCTGAAATGATAGTGAGGGGTACACCGTGAAGTCTAACAATTTCTTGTATATATATCTGAGCATAACGGTCCATAGAATATGTAGTGCAAATCGGTAGAAAATGAGCTGATTTAGTCAATCTATCAACAATTACCCAGACTGCATCATAACCCTTGACTGTCTTGGGAAACCCTGTAACAAAATCCGTTGTAATACTCTCCCATTTCCACTCTGGAATAAATAAGGGTTGTAAAGTCCCTGCTGGTCTCTGATGTTCTGCTTTGACCTGCTGACAAGTCAAACATTGTTCTACATATCGAGCAATGTTTTTTTTCATACCTGGCCACCAATAATTCAATTTCAAGTCCCTATACATTTTAGTGGCTCCTGGATGTACAAAATAAGGTGTCAAATGTGCTTCAGCCATCACATCTTCACGAATTTTATCAGTATTTGGGACATATAACCGGTTCCTATATAGGAGTACGTCATTCTCTGTTAACTGGAAATCAGAGGGTTCACCTAAAATGATATTTTTCTTCACCTTAGCAGAGTACTCGCCATGTTGTTGCCCTGTGTGAATTCGATCTAGCAATGTCGGTCTAAGTGTTAAAGCTGCAAGTTTTGCCGTTACAAGTCCAGGTTCAATAAGTTCGGTGTTCATCCTCTGTAGGTCGAGGAGTTCAGGTTTCTGAATTAAAGTCATAGCTGCCACTCTTTCTACTGATTTCCGACTCAATGCGTCTGCCACAACATTAGCTTTACCAGGATGATAGTTGATCACACAATCATAATCTTTCACAAGTTCTAACCATCTTCGTTGTCTCATATTCATTTCTTTCTGCGTGAGGAAATATTTCAAACTCTTGTGATCGGTATAGATCTCGCAACGTTCACCATACAAGTAATGTCTCCAGATTTTGAGCGCAAATACCACGGCTGCTAACTCCAGATCATGTGTAGGGTAGTTCTTTTCATACTTTTTCAACTGTCAAGAGGCATAAGCGATCACTTTATCGTTCTGCATCAATACACACCCGAGACCATTCTTCGAAGCATCACTGTAAACTTTAAAACCTCCAGTCCCGGTTGGGATTGCTAAGATAGGAGCTGATGTCAATCGTCTCTTCAATTCTTGAAAGCTTTGTTCACATGATTCTGTCCATTTATATGTGACATTCTTCTTGGTCAATTGTGTTAAAGGAGAAGCAATTTTAGAGAAGCC